TGGTGATGAAAAACAATTTCAGTAGTGTTGCAGGATATAAAATCAACAGTTTTTATACTCCAATAACAAACTAGCAGTAAAAGAAATCAAGAAAGCAAGCCCATTTAAAACAGTCACCAAAAAAATGAGATACCTAGGAATCAATTTAACCAAGGAGATGAAAGATATCTACAATGAGAACTACAAATCACTGTTGAAAGAAATTAAAGAGGACACAAAAAGATGGAAAGACATTCCATGTTCTTGGATTGAAATAATTAACATTGTGAAAATGCCCATACTACCCAAAGTGATGTACAGGTTCAATGCAAATCCCACAAAAATACCAATGACATTCTTCACAGACATAGAAAAAACAATCCTAATATTCATATGGAACAACAGAAGACCAAGAATAGCCGAAGCAAACCTGAGCAAAAAATAAAAATAAAAATAAAGCTGGAAGCATAACCCTCCCTGACTTCAAACTATACTACAAAATTACTGTAACCAAAAAAGCATGGCACTGGCATAAAAACAGACACTCAGACCAATGGAACAGAATAGAGAACCCAGAAATCAACTTACATACTTACAGCCAACTGATCTTTAGGAAAAGCAACAAGAACATACAGTGGGAAAAGACTGCTACTTCAACAAATGGTGCTGGGAAAACTGGAAATCCATATGTAGAAAAATGAAACTAGATCTGTACCTCTCACCATATACCAAAATCAACTTAAAATGGATAAAAGACTTAAAGGTAAGACCTGAACTCTAAAACTCCTAAAAGAAAACATAGGGAAGCACTTCAGGATACAGGACTGGGCAAAGATTTTATGAATATGATCCCCAAAGCACAGGCAATAAAACAAAAAATATACAAATGGGATTTTATCAAACTAAAAAAGCTTCTTCACAACAAAAGAAACAATTAACAGAGTGAAAAGACAACCTACAGAATGGGAGAAAATATTTGTAAACTATGCATCCAACAAGGGATTAATATCCAGAATATACAAAGAATTCAAACAACTCAACAGTAAGAAAACA